CAACTGCATCCCGCCGGCCGCCGCCTCCCGTGCGCTCTCCATGGCTTGCCTGAGTGAGTGCCTGTCATGGGGGTGGGTAGGGCCTCTGTCCCCAGGGCTCACCCTGCAGGGTGGGACTTGGGGGTTTGTCTTTTGTGTTGTTGTTAAAAAAATTTTTTTTTTGTCCCTATGTGGACCATTTCTAAAGTCTTTATTGAATTGGTTGCAATATTGTTTCTGTTTTATGCTTTGGCTTTTGGGCCTGGAGGCTTGTGGGATCGTAGCTCCCCACCCAGGGATCGAACCCACACTCCCTACATTGGAAGGCAGAGTCTTAACCACTGGACCGCTGGGGAAGTCCCCTGCGGGAGGACTTTGGGAGGGAGCATCCTGCCAGCTGCCAGACCCCCGTGAAGCCGGCCTCAGGGGGTGGGCTTCTGACACTCTGGCTGCTGCACGGGACACCCTGTCCTGCAGCCGGGGCTGGACTTGGCCGTGGCCCACCGTGAGGGGCTCGGCCTCGGGTGCCTGCTCACCCACCCACCCTCCTGTTCTTCCTCCCCAGTGCTCTTGACGTGGGTGAACAGCTCGAGCGTGCGCTGGGCCACGCGCATCCAGGACGTGTTCACTGGCGGGAAGCTGCTGGCCCTCTCACTCATCATTGGCGTGGGCTTTGTCCAGATCTTCCAAGGTAGGGCCGGGCGTGGGGCTGGGCGCAGGGCTGGGGAGACGGCGCTGACCCTTGGCCTCCGGACCCCCCAGGACACTTTGAGGAGCTGAGGCCCAGCAACGCCTTCGACTTCTGGATGACGCCGTCCGTGGGCCACCTGGCCCTGGCCTTCCTCCAGGGCTCCTTCGCCTTCAGCGGCTGGAACTTCCTCAACTACGTCACAGAGGAGCTGGTGGACCCTCGAAAGTGAGTGGGGCACCAGCCAAGCCCTGGGAAGGGGTGGGAGAGGCGGCCTCCCCGCACAGGCCTGCGGTCACCTATGGCCAGCCGGGCTGGTCATCGGCCTGGCTGCACTGCTGATCCCCACGATCGGCTCTGGAAAGGCAGCTGGGAGGCCTGTGTTCCAGCCTAACCCTGCTCTGTATGGCCGTGGATGAGTCACGGCCCCTCGCTGGGTCTCGGAAACACTGAGTCTCATTGTCTCCCTGTAAACGGATCCAGTTATGTGCTTGGCCAAAAAATTACACATGTGCACACAACATGGTCCCTAGAAAAGAAGCCAATGGCTCTGTCTGATGCTCGGCTGGGACCTTGACAGTGAACAGTTACAGCTGGGGCTGGGGGGCAGGCGGTGCTGATGGGACTCCCAGGGGACCCTGGCCTGTGGACTGAGCTCTAAGGACACTCTGAGGATCTTCAAAGCTGATTCTGGCTGTATACAACATTCTCTTCATGTGCCGACATTAGATCCGCCCCCTCCCCCAGGATATTAGTGGCTCCTCCTCCCACCAGCCAAGGCTGGGCTTCGGAGTGGTGGGGAGACAGACAGACAGATTGCAGGGCTGTCCTCTCCCCTGCCCCAGGGCCCCCCAGGAGATGGGCTCAAAGACCTGTACCACCCTGAGGCCCCACCCCAGCCCCCCAAGGACCAATGCTGACATGCTCCACCACTGTCCCCAGGAACCTACCTCGTGCCATCTTCATCTCCATCCCCCTGGTGACCTTCGTGTACACCTTCACCAATGTCGCCTACTTCACTGCCATGTCCCCCCAGGAGCTGCTGGCCTCTAACGCCGTGGCCGTGGTGAGTGGGGGGCCCCCCACCTGGTCCCTGGCTCCCGCCCAGCCCTCACCCCGCCTCACACTCTGCTTCTCTTCTCTGCCCACCCAGACCTTCGGGGAGAAGCTGCTGGGCTACTTTTCTTGGGTCATGCCTGTCTCTGTGGCACTTTCCACTTTTGGAGGGATCAATGGCTACCTGTTCACCTCCTCCAGGTGACCGGGCTGGAGGGAGGGTGGTCAGGGTGAGGCCAGGCAGCCGCCCTGGTGCACGGGAGCAGTGCTGGGGACCAGAGGAAGGGAAATCCCGCCTAGTGGAGCCTGCCTGAAGGTGGGACGAGGAACTCCCAGGGGACGGAGATCTGATCCCACTTCTGAGGAATAGGAAGCAGGAGGGAGGCAGGCTGGATGAAGGGAAAAACTGCCCGGTGGGGGCTGCTGGAGCAGGCGGTCAGAGGTGACAGCTCAAGAGGGCCATCAGGTCCAGAGCGGAGGTCGGGATCTGGCCGGCGGGGAGGCCCCAGGCCAGGCTCATGGCCCCCACCCATCCCTCCCCACCCCCCAGATTGTGCTTCTCTGGAGCCCGAGAAGGGCACCTGCCCAGCCTGCTAGCCATGATCCATGTCAGACGTTGCACCCCTATTCCCGCCCTCCTCGTCTGTGTAAGTTGGGGGGACCAGGCTGGCAGGGCGGGGAGCCAGAGCCCCGCAGCAGCCTGGGTCGTGGCAGGGGGTGAGGCCTGGCCCTGTGGGAGGGGAGGGCCGGGCTCACCGACGTCCTGGCCCGAGCTGGCCGGCCCAGGGCCAACAGTGGGAGCCAGCCCTCAGCCCGGTCCTCTCCCAGTGCGGGGCCACGGCGGTCATCATGCTCGTGGGAGACACATACACGCTCATCAACTACGTGTCCTTCATCAACTACCTCTGCTATGGTGTCACCATCCTGGGTCTGCTCGTGCTGCGCTGGAGGCGGCCGGCGCTCCACAGGCCCATCAAGGTGAGGCCGGGGAAGGACTGGCTGGCTCACATGCCGGAAGTAGTCAGGGCCACCCCTTTACCCACTTGGGCACCGGGGGCAGCGACGGCAGCAATGGGGAGGCCAGCCTTTGCCATGTGCCCGGCCCTGCCTGGGGCCCTGTGTGCACTGGCACATTCAGTCCTCAAGCAGCCCTGTGAGGTGGGCGCTGTGGGTACTCCCACTTCACGGACAGGAAAATAAGGCTAAGACACGGTCACAGAGGATTCCACGAGCCCACACAAAACAGAAGCCCCAAAAGCGAGCTAAGAGAAAAGTCCTCCCATTTGCATATCAATCCTTGAGCTGGAGAAGTAAGTGCTCAGTGCCTGAAATGTGGAACACTGAAAATCATTCACCTCCAGCCAAGTGCGAGCGGCCAGTCCACATACAGTCGCTGTGGGGAGCTCAGAGCCGCTGAAGTTGACAAACCCTCAACAGTTGGGCCAGCTGGGCCCCTCCGGTCTCAGCTCCCAGGAAATGGCCCGAGACCCCCAGGGATGGGGGGTGAGCCAGAGAGCTTGGGGGTGTGTCCTGCACTGCCGCTTGCTGCCCCCCAGGTGAACCTCCTCGTCCCCGTGGCGTACTTGGTCTTCTGGGCATTCCTGCTGGTCTTCAGCTTCATCTCGGAGCCCATGGTGTGTGGGGTAGGCGTTATCATCATCCTCACGGGGGTGCCCATCTTCTTCCTGGGAGCGTTCTGGAGAAGCAAACCAAAGTGTGTGCACAGACTCACAGGTGAGCTGGGCAGCTCCCCAGGGCCTGCAGATAGGACCCTCTTTGGGGTTTGCCCTAGAGCAGGGATCTCCCGGCAGCTGAGGTGGCCACATGGGGCCCAGCCACCACCCGACGTCTGCCCATGGAGTGGCTCAAGTGTCCGGGTCCCACGTGCAGAGAGCAGCTCCCTGAGGACCCCTGTCCCACGGGGTCAGACCCCAGTGTCCATGTGTTGGTCTGTCTGTCTGTCCTCAGAGTCAGTGACACGCTGGGGCCAGGAGCTGTGTTTCGTGGTCTACCCCCAGGGCTCCCCAGAGGAGGAGGAAAATGGCCCCTGCCAGCCCTCCCCACTGCCTGCCACGGACAAGCCCTTGAAGACACAATGAGACATTTGTGGAGCCTGAAGCAGCTGTTTCTGTTTACATGTTGTTTATTGAGGAGGTGTTTTTGCAAAAAAAAAAAAAAATTTTTTTTTCCTGGGGAAAAATTCTGACTCTTAGAAGGGCTTGGTAAGGAAGCCCTGAAGATGTGGACTGGGTCCCCTGTCATCACTGCCCCACTAGCTTTTCCTGGAAAGATCTGTGAATAAAACAGGGCTGGTGGTGCACCTGTCCCAGGAACTTGTTGGGTCTCCCTGGGTGGGGGGGGGGCATGTGTGGAACTGGCTGGAGCAGGTGGCTCGGGAGGAGGCTCTTGACTTTTGGGGGTTCTGCTGCTTGGGCCAGACACTCCTTCTCTGGGGTTGGCTCCTTGGGGTCCGGGGCCAACCCTGCCCTACAGGGACGTGGAGGACTGAGAACTGGCTGGGTGTGCCCCTCTCCCCCAGACCCTGCTATAGGCTCAGCCACCCAGGAGAGCCTGGGGTCCCCGCCAGAACTGCCTTTCTTCCCATAAATCCCCACGGAGTGAGTGTCAGGACTCAATGTCCTGGCTTGGTTCACAGGTGGGTAAACTGGGGCTTTGAGACAGGATGGCATGGGTTTGGCTGAGGTCAATTGGTGCCTCAGCCTCTGCCCTCTGAGAAAGCATCGGGCACCATCTTCTGGGGGCCTCGGGGCCTGTAAGAGATCTCGTGAGCTTTCTCTATCCCGTGCCCACTTTCTCAGCCCAGCATCATGCTGACTGGGCCCATACTGACCCCACAGGCACGAGGTTGGGGGCAGAAGCCTCCTGACCCAGCTTCTCCGGGGCCTGTGCCACCGAAGCGCTGTGGACTAGGCCTGATATACCCATGGCCACGTCAGTGGAGGAACAGCTCTGGCGCCCCACAGGGTGAATGGAGGGAGAAGCCACAGGAAACATTCTGGGGAGCCCTGCCCTGGCCCTCCTTCTTCTCTGGAAAAGGATTCCCAGAATGGAGTTGGGGGAGGCAGATGGGGACCCCCCCCAGGTGTCTTGTGTACACTGGAACCCTAGCAAGGGGCTCACCACTCCACCCTCCTCCCGCGTTCAAGCCCCAGCAAGTCCCCTGCCCACCATGCCCACCGTGGGGGCCAGGGTGCTGACACAGGAAGCTGGCAGGGCTCCCGGGTGGGCCTCTCCATAAGAAAGAAGGACGCGGAGGCAGGGTAGAAACGACTGTGTATTCCCTGGTTACAAAGCGGGGCTGTGGCGGTCATCAGCGTGTCCGGCGGGTCAGCAGACCAGCAGGGCCTCGTCGTCACTGGCCTCCAACGTTGGGGAGCGGGGTGGCGGGGGGCTCCTGCAGACTCCCAGCGGCTCTGATGGGTGGGGGCCGGGGATGCCACCGGCAGTGAGGGCCGGAGGGTAAGGGTCCTGGCCGGAGCAGGACTCCTGAGGCACGTCCACAGGGGCTGGGCTGTCCACCAGAGGGTCCCTGCCAGCCTTTCTGTCCTTGCCAGCCAGTCTGGACTCCGAGGGGTCCCGCAGGCCCGAGGGGGGCGGCGCGGAAGGTCCCACCTCCGAGGCGTGGCTGGGGGCGCCGGGGGGCCCCTCCCCTGCTGCCCCGGGGCTGCTTGTGTCCGTTAGGGGTGCCAAGGGTTCCCGGGCAGCCCCCGGTGCCGGCTGGAGGAGCCCGTCACCCAGCACCGTCTGGGAGGTGCGCGCGGCCGTCAGCAGCGGGATCTGCCCGCGCGACGCCCGCGGCCGGTGAAAGAGCCGGTTCCAGAGGCGGCCGAGGCGGCGGCGGGAGGGCCCGCGGCGGGAGGCGTGTCTGCGCATCTGTCGCCGCATGGCCGTGCGCAGGTTCTGTAGCACCGAGGCCTGGAGGGTGGGGCGGCGGCTGAGGGGGCAGAGGTCAGCACGACCCCACCCCCGCCGAGGGGCCCCCTTGTCCCCTCCCCTGGCCTGTCACCCTGCCGAGGCCTCATCTCCCATCTCCCTCAACCCCAGGACCAGCCCGGTTGTACAAACCCTGGGCCTCCCTGTCTCCCGCGTTCTCTGAGGTCCGGCTGGGCGGGCCGGGGGCTGGGGCGGGTCTCCCGCTCGCCGGCTCACCTGGGATGCACTGTAGACCGGGAAGTCCTCGACGGGCGGAATGAGGCCCTGTGCGATGAGCTGCCCGTAGGACGGGGGTGCCTCCCGCCGCACAAACTCAGCCTCCAGGCGTGTCATCTGGGTCTCAAAGGCCCTGAAGGCAACAGCAGAAGGGCAGCATGGCAGGCCGGCCAGGCGAGGGTGGGGGTCGTACTTCCCGCCTCCCACGGGGCGCCCCCCAGCGGCAGGATGTGGGCCCTCCTCCCTCCATCCGGGCATCCGGAGGGGCCCAGACCCGAGAAGCCCCGGGTGGGTGGCCCACAGCGGCAGGAAGCGTGAGTCCAGGCCCTCTCTCCAGGAACAGGGAGGAAGCGAGGCTCCGGCCCCAGCGCCCACCTGTACTCCTGCGTGCGCAGGGAGTAGAGTTTGAAGGCACAGCCCAGGGCGATGACGAGCAGCAGCCCGCAGACTAGGCTGCCGATGAGCGCGGCGGTGATGACCTTGCGGGGCACGGCCGCCAGGCAGCCGTGCTCGTCGCTGCCGTCCTGGCAGTCCTCCTGACCGTCACAGCGCCACGTCTCGAAGATGCACAGGTTGGTGCCGCAGTGGAAGGTGCCCGGCTGGCAAGAGAAGCAGTTCTTCTCGTCCGCACCGTCGGGGCAGCTCTTCTGGTTGTTGCAGCGGTCAGCGGGCGTGTAGCACAGGCCGCTGCCTCCCTCGCAGGGGTACTGGTCCGGGGGGCAGGCGGGGCAGCCCTGCTCGTCCCGGCCGCTGGCGCAGTGCCACCAGCCGTCGCAGCGCTGAGGCTCCGAGAAGCAGCCTTGCTCGCCCGGGTCCTCCACGTCGCCCTCACGGCTGCTCCCGCACGGCTGCTCCCACGGGAGGCAGTAGCCCTTCACCTGGTAGGTGGCATTGAAGCCGTGGCCGGCGCTGCGGGCACGGGCGTGGTAGGCCACGGTGAGGCGGCCCTGGGCGGCCTCGAGGCTCACTGGCCGGTGGTTGCTGCGGTAGGAGAGCGTCTGCAGCAGGCGGTCCCCGCGCTCACCCAGGCCCTCGTACACCTGCACGTAGTCGTCGTAGCCCAGCCGCAGCTCCAGCTGCAGCAGCACGCGCCGCGGGTCCTGCGTGTCCACCAGCCATGTGCAGTGAAGGTCCGAGGGCCCGCGGGCCGCACCGAACAGGTCTGGGGAGGCGAAGGAGCCGTAGAAGCTGCCCAACCGCCGGCCGCAGGCCAGGTCGGGACAACCGGCCTCGTCGGAGCCGTCGCCACAGTCCTGAGTGCCGTCGCAGCGCCGCTCAGCAGGCAGGCAGCGCGTGGAGCGCGCCCCGCTGCAAGGGAAGGTACCCCCGGGGCACAGGCTGCCTGGCGGCTCCGAGGCGGGCGCCGAGCAGTTGCCCTCATCAGAGCCGTCGCCACACTCGTCCACGGTGTTGCACTGCCAAGGGCCCGGCAGGCACTTGCCGTTGTCACAGCGGAACTCGTCAGCCTGGCAGGATGCCTGGCCCAGCTTCCCTGCAGGGTGAGGTGCGTGGTGGAGACAGTCAGGGGCGAGCAGAACCACCCTCCTCGTGGGGCCTGGGGCCAGGAGCCCGCGGGAGGTCCCCCTGCTCCCAGCAACGCCTCTGCAGGATTCAGGGGGAGGCAGGACCCAAGGAGAAGGGCCCTGGACTCTCTCTCTCCCCAGCCACCTGAGGGACAGAGACGCCTCGAATACCAGGGAGGCTCGGTTCCTGATCTGAGCCAGGGTCTATAAAGTGGGGTCAGTGATCTCGAGGGGTTTCAAGGCACCCCGAGGCAGCAATGTGACCAGTTCCTGTCCCAACACTGGGCTCCAACAGTTGGGTACTGGGGGAGACCCTGCGGGGAGGGGGCAGATGGAGGGTGCCACCCCCACCCCTGGGGAGCCCATAGGCGCGCCCTGCCGTTGGTGTTACCTCGGATGTAGGAGAGACGGAAGCCCTGGGCCTGGCCGGAGCTGGAGGCGTCCGAGTGGAAGAAGATCCAGACGTGGTCCCGGGCGGAGATGAAGGCGGGCGGGATGGCAGAGCCACAGAGCCGGAAGGCCTCCTGGCGGGGCGGGGCCGCAGGGCCGAGCATGAGCCAGTCCAGGGAGCACTGGTGGGACTCCTCCACGTCAAAGTTGCGGAAGCTGCAGGGGGCAGGGAGGACCGCAGATGTGAGTGGGTGGTCAGAGACCAGCAAGTCATGCCTAAACTCACAGCAAGGACGGCCAGTGCCAGCATCGCTTCTCTCTTCCACTCCCAGCCACTCAGCAGGTCCTCAGGAGTCCGAGAGTGACTCCATGAAGAATCAGGACAATGTGGGCAACTAGGAACATGTCAGCCCCCAGGCAGCTCTGTGAAGGCCTCCTCTCTGCCTCTCCACCGTCCATCAGAATACACATGGTGCCCCAACCGAAGGCCACATGGACTGGAGGCAGGAGTCCCATGGTAGGCAATTCCCCCCACTTACACTCTCCCCTGAAGGGCAAGGTCCAAGGGTCCAGATCCCCCCATGCTGGCTTTGCTGCAATAGGCCCGGCGCGAATCCCAGGCCAGGGCACAGAGGGGACCCGTGTGCGCAGGGCAGGCCTGGGCTGGGGGACAGCTCATCCCCTGGGGAGAAGCACTGGCCCAGGCTGTGGGTGAGCAGGGCTGAGGAGTACTCTAGAAGTGGCCGAGGAGGCTGGCGTCTTTGAAGAGATTCCCAGTGGCCACAGGGAAACAGGCACAGACCCTGCTGTGTTCCCATCACACCTCTGGCCTTGGAGATGTGGAGCGTCTGGGTCTTCCAGGCTTTGCATTTACGAGAGTGACACCCCAGCCAAACATCCCCATGACCATCCCCATCTAGGGCTCTAGCCTCGGTTCCACCATCTGATCACCTCACCCTGCTTCCCTCCACATCCCCGCAGCTTGAGCACCTGGCTCCTCCCTGCTTCCCTCTCCTGCTGAGATGGCCCCAAGGGCCCAGGGGCAAACCCGCTCTGGGCTCAGTGCCAGCCTGGCCTCAAGCCGACCCTGCAGGACAGACAGGACACCCCTGCCACCTCACAGATGACTGGGCCATGCCCTCCAGTCCCAGGGCTCCCCTCCCTGGCAGGCCCGAGGTGACAGACAGCCCCACAAGCCCATGAGAGTGGCCCAGGTCTGGGAAGCCAGCCGCAGAGACCCACACCCACATGTTCACATGCATACAACTCATACATGTGCACACACAGACTCACACATGTATTTGCACACCTACACATCTCACACACATGCCCTCCACACCTACACACACGTGCTCACAAACGCACATACGCGTGTCCTTCATACCTGCTCAGGCTGGGCTCACACACACACACACAAGCACAGGTGTGTTCACACACACACGTACACACACATCTGGTCACTGTACTTGTCGCATGCACTCACACACACACCATCACACATGCAGCACGTGCAGGCCCACATCGAGTCCCTCTGACACCCTGGTGTCCCCGTACCTGATGGTGATCATGTCCCCGCGGTCGCCCTGTATGTACCAGCTGCAGTTGGTGCCCGGCGGGTAGTTGAGGGGCCAGGCTGGGCTGTAGATGACGCCACGGCGTGCGGTGTGCTGCTCCAGCTTCCCGCTGCAGGCGGCTGTCAGGAGAGGAGGCTGAGAGGTGCTGGCTTCACCTTTGGGTGGGAGGGGGCAGTGAGGGAGGGGGACATTGAGCCCCCCAGCCCAGGACCCGAGCACTGGCCTTTCCCAGGTAGGATCAAGGCCAGCCAAGGTGGTCATGGCCAAGGGCATGGGCGCGCCATGAGACTTCAGGGAAGTGGTATGTATGGCGTGGGGAGAGGAGGGCCCACATGGACTCGGGACAGTCCACCCTGTGCCCCAGAGCCCACCTCTTCTCCCCTACCCTCCGCAGGGCTGGGAACCAGCCCACCAGCTCCCTTTGGCACCTCACAGGTAAGGCCTCTTGGCCTCGGGTCTCAGCTCAGTGGAGAATCCTGCAGCCCTGGGCCTGGTGGCCCAGCATAAGCAGACCCACTATAGTTCCTTGCCTGCCACCCCACCACCCAAGGGCTGGCCTAATACAGGCCTCATTCAACACATGCTTTCTGAGGACCTACTATGTGGCAAGCACAGTACTAGGCATGCTCATAAGACAGGTAAAAGTTTGGCTCTGTGGGGCTCGCAGACTAGGGGAGGAGCAGACAGACTATGCAGATTCCCTGGGCGAAATGAAGATTATAAAACAGGCCTGAAGAGAGGGGCCGATATCCTGAGGTGGCTGGAAACACAGGCTGGGTCTGATGGCATCTTGTGTGGCATTTAGATTTTATCCTGAGTGTGAGTGGGAGGCCACCAGCGGGGGGATGTCATAACCGGATGAGGAAACCAAGGTTCAGAGAGGGTCAGTGAGTTGCCCATGGCCACACAGCGGGTAAGGGGCAGAGTCACGGCCCACCCTGGTCCTCTAGTGGGCTGGGCCTCTCATTGTGTCAACCATCCACTGTGTCAGTGAGCACAAGGCATCACTCAGGGCAGCACAGGTGATGAGTGCCTCTATGCCCAGCCCTGCGGGCTTCATTGTACCCACTTCATTAGTTACACATGCCCTCTGCGACCTAGCCAAGCTCACCCAGCCTAAAGGTGGCAAACCCTGCCCTGGTGTGCCCTGGCCTTCGCAGGACCAAGCAAGGCTCTTAACTTGGTTGCCCCAGCCCCTCAGAGCCCCTCACCACGCTTTTTCATCTGATCTTCACAACAGCCTGTGGCATAGGCACAGGTATGCCCATTATACAGATGGAGAAACTGAGGCCCAGGGAGACAAATCATAGTGCTTTGCCCAAGCCCCGCGATACCACCTACCTCTTCATTCTCCCTGACCCCTGACTGTTGCCCTGCAAGCAGGGTCTCTCTGCTGGCTCTCAACAAGACTCTTTGGAATCCCAAAAGACTCAAGTGCAGAAAGGAGAGTGAAAGCCCTCCAGCAGCCTCCCATGCTCCACCTGTGGATGTTCGGGTGATCGAAGGCTGTGACCCACACGGGGTTAACCCCCAGCAATGGCTCACAGGAGGATCAGGGGCTGGAAGAGAAACACCCACACCAACCCTAAAGCAAGGCTGACCACATCAGGTTGCCCTCAGAGCCTTGACAGCCCCGGGTTGGTGAGCTACCAGCCAGGGCTCCCCACTTGGCACTCACCAGGACCTGGGAGGTCAGCGTCCCTGAGTCTCAGTGTTCTTGCAATCCAGGAGGGTAAGGACTAAACAACCAGGTGGTGATCAAGGGCCTAAGCAACTTGTTTCCTTGGATGGGTGAGGCTTTGTGGGCTTCACAGAGATGATGACCTGGAGACCCTGGCAGGTGTAAGGTCAGGGCTCCTCCTCCTCCGGGATGCTGGGTGGGGGGTCCCTAGGCAGGGCTGGGAGCACATCCTCCCCCCACAGTGAGTCTCTAAAGCAAACGTTACACCCGGAGTCAGATGCTCCATCAGCCAACGTGGGAGTCACCCCTGTCCCCTCAGCCCCCAGGACAGGCCTGAGGCAAAGCAATACCCACTGTGGCCTAGAGGCTTTCCTCACAAGATGGAGCCCTCGTGGAGGCCGGGTTTCTCCCCCACACTGGCCAGAGAAATCCAGACCTGCAGGGACCCACGTCTGGCCCTCTTTCATGACATGGGGAAGCCTGTCTCTCCAAACCACCAGCCTCGTCAGGAGCAGATAACCAGACACTGCTTCTCAACAATCCCCTGACAACATGTTCCCCCAGACATGCCTCACCCCAAGTGCCCCTCAGACGCCCCAGACATTTCCCCACTGAGGGCAGCAGTGTCCCTGAGTCACTGTTAATTCTTCTGCAAGGGCGGGTGGGCAGAGAGACCACAGTTACTGCAGCCGTCGGCCTGGCCCATGCAGAGTGACCGTGGACGGGGAGGAAGACTGGGGTCCCTGCAGGGCCCCAGACTGGATGGTGCCTGGCCGTGGGCCTGGAGGACATCACCAGCTCAGACGAACAGCCCCAGGCTTCTCTGTGACGGCAACCTCATTCCCATCCCACCGCCACCCCAGCACCCAGGCGCAGGCAGGGGAAAGAACTTCGTGAATCCAGTCCAGTCCTGGAGTCCACACTGCCGGTCACACCCTAGGCCCCAGCTTGCCCTTCAGTGAAATGCAGTCAGAGGGTGCCGCTCATCTCAGGGTGGCTGGGAGATGTGGGCGAGCGGCAGTCTAGAGGCAGGCGTGCGTGTGGGGTGAGTAGGGGGGACACCCGTGGGAGGTGAGGGCAGAAACGGTGTGTGTGATGAGGGTGGGTAGTGAGGGGAGCTGGGAGATACTGACGCAGGATGGAGGCTCTTGGGGGTATTTAGGGGCAGTCAGAGAAGTCTGTCTGAGCTTAACTGGAAGTGACCTGTGTTCACTTGGACAGAAGTTTTGCTCAGGTCAAGGTGGCCTGCCCAACGGGGCAAGGGGTGACTGAGCGCTTTCAGACCAGCGTCCTTCTTTCCTGGTCCAGAGAAATGTCAAATACTCCTGAGAGGGCATGAGCAAGCCTGAAAACATACAGCATGCAGATATGGTCTCCAGGGGCTCCCAGCACTCTGGCCAACCTGCCAGGGTGCTCAATGATTGGGAGCCGGGAGCCCCAGCAGAGTGCCTGGGCGAAGCTGCCAGATGAGCAGAGAACACCCTGAAGACGCTGAACACGCTCACCCCCCGGGTCACAGTGGCCAGAGTCTGGGGTGATGGGGTGGGTTATCCAACCCAGATGGTGCCTGACAAGCTGGGGCAGGATGGGGGCTGAGGCTGAGAGGCAAAAGCCTGTGAGGTCCCCAGGTGGCCCAGCTGGGCCCTGCGGAGGGACTGAGCCCAGTGAGGGTGGGGAAGCGGCAGGCGAGACAGTGATGACCCGGGTTCCTCACAGCAGGAATTGCAGGGAAACCCTGAAAGTGTGGAGGCATGGCACTTCGGGTGGGAGGAGGCACTCTGGCAGCCAGAAGCTGGTCTCCACTTCTCTCAGCAATGCTAGAGGGTGAGAGATGGGCTCTAGGACAGCCTCAGCTCAGCCCAGCCCCTGTGGCCAGACAGGCTCCGTGTGCAGCCTCAGGACACCGGGGGCGGAGGTGGGGGGCAGGCACAGACAGCTTGAACCCCGCTGGCAGTCAAACAGGAGGCTGAACCTGGATGAATTTCTCTCCTGGCTCTACAGATGGACTTTGTCCCCGGAGCATCTCTTTTCGAACCCGGGGCAGACATGTTTGGAGCCACATGCCCGCCCACACACCAGCAGGGGGCCTGCCTGGGACTCGCATATTTAAGACCTGCCACCCCCTTGTCCCCTTCGCCCTGCGACCCCTCTCTACCATGGCTGCCACGGACACCTGACCCAGGTGAGGCCAGTCCGTCTGGTCCTGGAAATTGGGGTGGGGAGACTGCGTGGTTAGCTGTGGGGGCCATGACGTCAGGCAGGACTCAGGCCGGCTCAACGCTGAGTGAGGCCGGGCCCTGAGCCAGCGCGGTCAGCAGCGGAGGCCAGGCTGCAGGGGCAGGAAGGAGCTGGTTGAAGGGAGAACGGGAAGGGAGGCTGAGAGTATGCATCGGAGAGACAAGCCTTTGAGAGCAGCTTCTGTGAATCCCGAACCTCCCCATCGCAGGGACAGCGACCAGGAGACAGCCCACCCCAGCCCACCCCCACCCCCGCCTTCCTGAGCTGCCTCAGTGGGTCTCTGCTGCCAGCCAGACCCTGAGCAGAACTATTAATAAAAATCCCAGGTACCTCCTGCCCCACGACACAGCTCAGGACACAGCAAACAAGCCCGCAGACTCCAGTTCCCAAGGCCCTTCTCAGATGTCTCCCCTGGCACCAAGGGACCCAGGGCCTGGGCCTATGCATTCACCAACCCCTGGCAGCCTCCTCAGCAAAGGGCAAATGCCCCTGATGGCCTCAACCCTGAAGGCTCCCACTCCTGGCAGCCTTTGCTGTGCTCGGCACTAGGCCCAAGCATGAAGACGGCCAGCGGATGGACAGACCTGCTCTGACAGGCAGGAGGCAGCCACGGAGTTCAACTATGTTTTCTTAGATCCTGTGTGTCTATTTGGCACCTACTTATCACAGGGCCAAACCATCAGTCAAAGTGTTTACGTCTCTCCTGCAAATCGGTGTCCCTGAAACTGGTCTTTCCCTGGCAGACTGGCTGATTTGAGACTGAACCCCTACAGCCTTCTTACCTAATTCACACACCAAGCCAATATTTCATCCCAGGGTCAGGTAGCAGGCACGGACAGACCACTCCGTTAGCCCAGAGCCCTTAGGGGTTAGCCAAACTAGCCAGCCCTAAGCTGTTTTCTCTGCCCTGTCTTGTTCTGCTCACCGAAACTTCGATCAAGGCTCTGGCCAAAAAGCCTTCCCTTCACTTCTGTCTGCCTTGACTAGACCTGGTGTTGCCCAGGTGACCCTAAGTGGTATGGCATGGCCCCTCCTCACGAGACACATAAGCAACAAATTCCTCCATCAGTGGCTTTGGCCTCTGTGTTGGCACTCAGTCATACCTTCTTAAACTAAATCCCAGGTGTAATTTTAAAGCAGGCAGGCATCTTATGGTGCCCTATGGTTCTCTGGGATCCCCACTGCCTACAGGAAGCACAGTCTGCCAAGTGTGCAGGCCATGACAGTTTCCTAGTGGTATGAGGCTACCACGTGCAAAAGCCGTGCTGAACACCTTACCTCACTGGCCCATTTAACCAGGCTCCATGGTTAAATGCACCCATTTTACAGAAGAGGAAACTGAGGCTCAGAGAGGTATAAGCTTGCCTAATGCCAAAAAACTCCTTTGTGATGCAAAGATGCCCAGGAATTGAGATTAAAAAAAAAAGGCCAGGTGACCTCAGGGGTGGAGCCAGGATCCTGAAGGCTGGTACTCAAAGGTCACTAAACCAGGAGAGCAGGGAGGAGGGGAGGAAGGGGAGAAGCGTGTTACTCACCTAAGGCAGGAACGGCGCTGCTGAACCGCCCGGTGAGAACAATGTTCACTGTGGGAAACAAAGCGGGTTCAGTGGTGTGGGGGAAAGGAGGAGGAGGGGGGTAGCTCTTGGGGCTTAAACACTTGGGGTGCAAAACAACACAGCCCAAACTCCAGGCTGGTTCTCTTCATCTCAAAGGGTAAGGCCCAGAGCACTGTTACAGTCCTGCTGGGATGGGCAGAACGAGAACCCCAGAGGACCTCAGGACTTACCCAAACACCCATAATGGGAGAGAGCAGAGTGCAAGCCTGGCTGCCCCAGACCACTCCTGCCATTCCCCGTGCTTGGGAATTCTAACTCACGTGGGAGGGGGTTTGCTTGTATCTTCTCGGGCTTGGGACCCACGGGCCTTGACCATCCTTCAAGGAAAGACCTTGCTCAACCCAGGCCTTGCTCAACCCAGGCAGGGGCCCTGCTTGTGAAGGGGGCTCCTACCACACTGTAGGGCTTCCTCCCTCTGAGGGGCCTTGCCAGCCAGCCAGGGAGGCAGGGAAGCAGTTCTGATCACCCCCATTCTACAGGCACTTACAGCTACCAGGGTTCAAGGTCCTCCTCACTACCCCATGCTACCCACCACCATGGGATCTGCCCTTTGCTTTCACTGAATGCTTTCCTGCAGCAGATATGGGAGCAGAAGACGTAGGCACACTCAACTTCCTGAGGTTCAGGGTGTCCCCTTCCCCAACATCAAGGATGCAAAGGGAAGCAGAGAACAACATCTCTACAGGGGTCAGCCCATGTCTGGAGAAGAAGAGAGCCAGCTGCCCCCTGGCAGGACACCCAGCATCTGCTGGGCGGGGAGGGCCTTGGGGAAGGCCAAAGGGTCTGCCCCTTGCCTTGCACCCTGGGGGAAGCCAGGCACTCAGGAGCATGGGACCACACTGACAGACTGGGGATCGGGCACTCTGGGGGCCACGAAGCTCACTGAGATCTGCTCACGCAGCTAAGGCAGGGGCCTTCCCCCAGCTCCTAGATTCTTGGGGGCAGAGGACAGTGCACCCTAAAATGAACAGGCTTCTTTTTTTACTTTGCCATTTCAGTGGCTTCAACAAACCTGCTGGGATTACAGAGCCTTCACTGATGACACCATAGGGTGTCCCCTAATGACCCCGGCTTAGATAATGGCCTCCCTCCTTCATCATGGTAAATAAAGGAGCCATGTGGCTAGACGATTTAACCCCTTGCTTCCCCTCTCCCGCACACAAGGCCCTAGAAAGGTGGACAGAAAAGCTCTGGCAGGGCTGGCTGGGTCCCTGGCCCTCCCCAGACACATCGCCCTGGGCTGCTGAGGCCTGCCCCGCTGGGTCTGAGAAGACACAAAGAGAAGACAGGAGTCATTCTAGCAGCTGCCTCCTGCCGCGCATCCCGATCCGGCTCCGGCTGGCTCCCGCCCCCAACCCACTCCAGGCAGGAAATAGTTCCTCGTTCAGGGGACCACCGGCACCAGCCCCGGTGGCTTCGCCTTTGTCCGCAGCTCCGGAGGCCCGGATCGCCCATCGCCGCCAGGCTAAGAGCGGGGAAGTCAGGCAGAAAGTCACTGCCCGCCAATCCCAGGCGCCCGCAGTGGGCCGCCCCGCGCGCCGCTCACCCGGGCTCCCGGACGCTATTCTGAACCCGGCTGAAGCCGGGGCTCCGCGGCCGGAGTCGCCCTCCCAGGCCTAAGACCCCAGCAGGCCAGACTGCTGGGGGCCGCAGTCTCCTCGGCCTCTGGCAGGAGTTCTCGCAGTGCCCGTC